CCGGAAATGGTGGCGACCAGGTGTTCACAGGGCGCTTCATAGGTGACAATGACCTTCCTCTCTTCCTCGAAGTCTATTGCCGTTGCCAGTTTGGATAAGGCGTCGGCATGGGCATTTTCTTCACGTGGGACATGTATGAAGGATATTTCTCCAAACCAAGCCCCCACCTCTCTCACCCTTCGCACGTACCCTTCTAGTGCTTCCTCCTTAACCTCAAAGACCCCATTAAGTTGATTGATCACCAGGGCTGAGTCGGATCTGATCTGTACTTTGCGGGCGCCCAATTCTTTGACCATGCTCATGCCAGCAATCACTGCTTCATATTCGGCGGCATTGTTCGTTTTCAGCTTTGCGAATCGCAACGCGACTTCGTGCATTGCACCGCCTGGACTTATCATCACAATTCCTGCTCCTGCGCCCGTACGACTGGCGGCTCCATCAACCTGCACTTGCCAACATTCGTTCGCGCTCTCTTCGGACTCTGCTACTCCTTCCGCGATGAAGTCGGCCAAAACCTGTGCTTTTATCGCCGGTCGGGGCGCATATTTGATGTCAAACTCACTCAGTTGCACCGCCCACTTGACCAGGCGCCCAGCCACGTCCATTGATCCCAGCGTAGATTTCAGCGGCAGATTGGTGAGTATCATGATGGTATGCGCCTGAAAGTATGGCCTTAGCTTGGTCGCCGCCATCACAACTGCCAGCGCCGCCTTCTCAATGGGTGCGTATCGTCGTTCATGGGCCACCATGGTCTGACTTACATAGTACACCGGCTTTTCCTCGCCGGAGTTGGCTTCCCTTGAGACAAGCACTGCGCTTACCGATACGTCTGACACAACGATATAAAGGTACAATGTCTCTCCCATCTTGGGCGCCGTCATAACCGTCGGGGCGGCCAGGAGCCGCTTCAGTTCTTCAAACGCTGTGTCACATTCCGCCGTCCATTGGAAGCGTGTTCCCTTTTTGAGCGTCCGGAACAACGGGGCTGCCTTGTCTGCAGATCGGGGGATAAAACGCCCCAGGGCCGCCAATCTTCCTGCCAAAGCTTGTACTTCCTTGGGCGCCTTTGGTGGTGCCAACTGGAGAACGGCGTCCACCTGCTTCGGATTGGCTTCGATGCCCCGTTTGGTAATCATGAATCCCAGGAATTTGCCCGCCTCAGCACCAAACACGCACTTTAATGGATTGAGGCGGAGATTATGCGCCCGCATAGCTTGAAACGTTTCCCGCAAGTCCTCTAGATGGTCTTCTCGTTTCCGGCTCTTGACTATCAAGTCATCCACGTAGGCTTCCATGTTTCGGCCGATTTGCTTACGGAAGACATTGTTGACCATCCTCTGATAAGTGGCGCCCGCATTTTTGAGGCCAAATGCCATGACCCGATAGCAAAAGTTTCCGAAAGGTGTCATGAAAGCTGTCTTGGGTCGATCTTCCTCTGCCATCGGAATCTGGTGGTACCCTGAGAACATGTCCACAAAACTCAACATTTCATGATATGCCGTGGCGTCTACTAGTAGGTCTATACGGGGCATCGGATAGGCGTCCGTTGGGCACGCTCTGTTCAGGTTTGTGTAATCCACACACATTCTCCAATCTCCTGACGGCTTTGGCACAAAGACCACGTTCGACAGCCAGGTGACATAGGACGTTTCCTCAACCAAGTTGGCGCCCATGAGCTTATCTACTTCGATCCTGAGTGCCGCCTCCTTTTCCGCCGACAAATTTCTTCGCTTTTGCTGCATAGGGCGCTTTCCTTCTTCTACCGCCAGACGATGCACGGCCGTCTCAGGGGCGACGCCCGGCATTTCCAAGGCGCTCCAGGCGAAAAGCTCTGCGAACTCCCTCAGAAGAGCGATGATGCGCTCTTTCACTTCATCAGGCGCCTCCGCTGATATCCTCACTTGTCTTTCTGGGCGTTCCAAATCTAGTGCCACCATACATTCTTTGTCGGCCGCTTCGGCTCGGGGTGCCTCTTCCGCCGAGATTTCCACCATATTGACTGTTTCGTTGCCCTTCCGCTTTCGTCCTGTTTCTTTTGCATAGCGCGGGGCGCCCCTTCCCCGTGCCACGCCTACTCCCTGTGGCGCAATGAACTTCAACGTCTGATGGCAAGTGGAGGCCACGCCGTTAAACAAGGCCAGGAGGGGCCTTCCTAGAATCGCGTTGTATGGCGACGGGCAGTCCACTATTCCAAAATCGATGGCACGTGTCATCCTCTGCTCCCCATCCCCCAAGGTAACTGGTAGGCGCACACGCCCTATTACCTTGGCGGGCGCCCCTGAAAAGCCAACTAACACCGATTCTGAGGGCCTGATCAGTTCTGGTGATAGTTGCATGCGGACCACCGTGTCCTTGAACAACATATCCATCGAACTCCCTGTATCAACGAGCATTCTCCTGACCTGACACTCTGCCACCACGCCTTGTATCTCCAGGGCGTCCATGGATGGGAGCATGCATGCTCCTTCGGGCGCCCTATTGAAACTGATGTCTATCGCCTCTTGGACTTCCGCCGACGCCGCCCTCAAGCGACGATTTGCCTCTATCTTCTCTCTCAGGTCCACAGTTCCCGAAATAGCCTCAATAGTCAGGCGCACTCGCTCGGGCGCGTTTTCTTGGTCGAGGTCGTATGGCGGTGGTGGCAGTCCTTCTATTGTTCTTTCTGCGCCAGCCACACAGGCCCGGTGCACTCTTTCTTCAGGCTTCTTGACGAAATCATTGAGCATCCCCCTGTCAGCCAAGCCTTGCAACTCGGTCTTCAATTGGTAGCAGTCGGCCGTGTGGTGTCCTACCTCTCGGTGGAAGTCACAATATCGATCCAGATTCCGCTCATTGGGCTGCCCCCTCATGGGGCCCGGCCACCTGATGTGATACCCTTTCTCCTTGACATGCTGGAGTATATTCTTCAGCGTGTCTGTATATTCGGCAAAGGGTCCCCTGGGTGCCGGACGCCCGGCCTCCATTCTCCTGGGAGGAGGGGGGTTCGCGGGCGCATACCCCGGACCGCTTGCAAAGTGTGGCCTCCTCGCCGGCTCCGCCTCCTCTCCTTTCGCCTTTCGCCGGTCGGCTCTCCTGGCCGCCAACGTTTCTTCGAGCATGATTACCTTTTGCACCCGGTGGTCCAAGTCTTCAGTGCATACCACGTCTCTCTTCGCTAGCGATCTGCACAACTCCTCGCTGGTGGTGCACTCGTTCAAACACACTCCCAACACTGATGGTTGTACATCCTTCACTGCCAGAGCCACAGATAACCATCTCTCATAAAACTTCCTCAGCGTCTCTCCCTCTCTTTGCTTGATCTTGAACAGGGCGCCTATGGTTAGGGTGCGCCGCTTCCTGCTGGCGAACTTCGCGAGGAACATCTCCGCGAATTGCTCAAAGCACTCAATGCGCCCTTCTTCGATTTGGTAATACCAATCAAGTACCACGCCTGAGAAAGTCGACGGGAACACCTTGCACAGGGTGGCGTCTGTGCTGTTGTAGAGCTGCATCTTTGTGAAATAACCGTTGAGGTGGTCTTCCGGATCAGTGACCCCATCATAGGTGGGGAGCGGGGGGATGTTGGTCCCTGCTGGCTCCGCTAGTATGTTGCGCGCCAACGGCTGCCTCACGGGTCTGTGGCGAGACAGGCGCCCCAAAATTCCTCCACTCCATCCTCCTGTCTCTAACCCTTCGTACTCGCGTGGACGCCACACACTGGGGCGCCTCTGATATCCCGACTCGCTTTCCGTCTCCGCCACCCTTTCTCTTTTCTTCGTCGGACTAGGTGTCATTCCTCCACCTCTCTTTAGGGCATCGACCTCCTTCCGGAGTGCCTCGATTGCTCCATCTTGGTCCTCAATGATCCTGAACAGCTCTCTCTTTGTCACCGAGGCGCCTTCCGACCCTCGAAACATGCCGTCACTATCCTCCCTCTCATCCATCTCGGGCGCCAGCCCCCTTAGTCGTTTTGACTGGTCCTCCGTGACCTCTTCCCTTTCCCTTCCGTCACTCACCTCCATTTCCTCACTCATGATTTCAGGTTATATTCCCCTTCCTGGCGCGCCAATTGTTTGAGCCACGATACCCTCTTCACCGTCCGGACGTCTCCCCTCTCCTGAAGCCCACCTACACACACAAAGAGGAGGGCGCCTTGGCCCGTGAATCCTCCGACGCCCAAGTTAGTCTCTGCGGGAGAGTAAAGTTCTCAAGTAGTATTTTGGGGAGAGAGAGTCCAACCTGCATAAATGCTATCGACTGCCCCTATTTATACTCACCGAACCCGAGGTTGATCTCCGCCACGTCACCATCCTCATTTAATGCTCTGTGCCCCCTCTGTGAGACAGCTAACCGCCTTGTCAGGCTCCTGACACATGACAGGCATCCCACAGCTCTGCCAGGCTCCTGACACATGACAGGCGCCCGCAGGCAGTGGTCCACCAGACAGTTGGCCGCCACCTGGCTTTTGGTGTTTTATTCTTAAGGTCCCTTCTCTTGTTTGGGCCCAAGAGCCACTAGTGAATATTGGTTCTTATCTTTTGGGCCTTGCCCCCCAACTCTTTCTTTGGGAGCCCAAGCTCCTAGCTTGCTGGGTAATACCTCCAACATTAGGATTGAGGAAAATTTGATCTGATACCCATTCAATGATTCTGTTAACTAATATACAAGTTTTGGAAGAGATAAACCTGGTGCACGTAGGCACTACCAAAAATGTAGGAACATAAAGTTGTGGAGAAAAGAATAAAATGAAAAATCATTTATCTCCTAATACTATACACTACGACCATCAAATGAATGTGATGTCAATCATTTATCACATTGTTGTTAACCACGATATATATAATATGGTTCACATAATCATCTCATCCTTTAAGCGGCCGGTACCGACTCTCAAGCTAACAAAAACATGGTCAGACTTTCCCCAGCCACTAGCCATTCGAGATGTCTCTTGTAGCCACCAATTAATCATAATAATAATGTGAATGTTATCATCTCAAGCTAGCTAACTTTATAATATATATATATATATATATATATATTCAAAGACTCATTCATGCCACTTGTCTTTGAAAATAATGCAAGCGCATGCAAATCAACAATATAAAATAGTATCTTAGTTCGTTCAACATCCAGGGGAAAAGAGATGAAGAAATAATGCACAAAAAGATGAGTGAAACATATAAAATACATTACATCAATAATACACAGATTCTAATCATTTTTCGTGTACGATTAGATAGATCAACTCAAAATCGCATTTTTAGACGACTCAAATTATTCGATTTTTTTTTTAAATTGTATTGACTCATGTGTTATGAAGAGCAGCAACCTTGTCAGCTAATTCATGGACAGTTTCGTCACTGACTTCTGCAATAACTTCCTCCTGTCATGAAAAAACATCAGGACAGCGATTAATATTAAAAAAAAAACGAAGTATCACTAACAAATTGTTAAGTAAATTGAGCTATTTGGACCATTAATTGGTTCCTAGCTAACAAATACTATCTAATATCTATAATAATAAAGAAAGTAGCTCTACCTCTGTTTTGTGTTTGACACCAATACATTTGGAAGCACTAATACTAGCACTCTTCAACAGGCTTCTAGTGGCCGGGTTAGTCTTGTTCGGGCCATTGGATTTGCCGGCGACTGCACTTTCTTGACTGCCCTCCGGCGGGCTATTGAGTGTGGTGGCGACAGATTCTGCTGTCCGCCTCTCGAAATCGTTCTCCTCTTGTCCTTCTTGATCTTTAGGCACAGGAACTCGCTCCCTAGTTTAACATAATAATCAATATAAGTTTCACAACTTAATTACTCATTAATGTTCTTAATTTGTCATTTGATCTAATTATAATTTCCTTCAAATAACTTACGTACCTTGGCAATGAAGCATGTTGCCTTAGGAGTGGCGAGCTCCGTTCACCTTTACCATGATGTTCTTCGAGGTGAGCAAATTGTCGCTTAAATCGATCAACGCCACTACAATTTGATAATGTGTAAAGGGCATGAATATCATGAAAACAAACAAAAAGATTTAAAAAAAAAAAACCAATCTAGCATCAAATTGTAGTTAGACAACATACCTAGGATACATGAAACTAGTTTGTTCTCCACCTCTAAGGTACTCTTGCAACATCTGGGGATGGTACTCTAAAATCTGTTTGCATACATCGATATATAGACCCGAAATCAATGTTTGGTTATGATTCTAAACGCGTGACACCCTAGCTAGCTATACACCCGATTTTGAATTATATGAACCTGTCTGAACCAAATCACATACCTCTCTATAGATTAGCTCTCGGACATCGTCTTTGGTGAGTTTTCTCCTCTCGAACTCAAACTCCAACTTCGAGATGGTTTGACTGGAGGGTTCGCGATCCACGTTCGACAAGCCATTGAAGTAAGGATCGGCAAGTGCCTATCATATGATCATTAGAATTAATGTTATGTCACAATACTAATTCCATATATATCGTCGAAATGAAATGAATCTCACTGACATGATACTTGGTAGTAAAATAAGCCGACCTCTTCAGCAGTGGGACGATCTTTAGGATCAAAAGCAATCAAACGTTCTAATAAGCTGAGTGCTAGAGGATCTGCATTGGGGAACTTTTGAGCAAATGGAACCGGTTGCTTCTTTCGCATGCTACTGAGGTATCTTCTTGCCTTTTCATTTCGAATCTATGGCCATGCATTCAATTGGAAACGTATGTTAGCCACACATAAACCGGTTCTATTAGGAAACCGGTTCAATACTAGGTTAGTTGGCTGGTTAGTTAGTTGTTAGATGATTAGGAAGTCGATTTGGTTCTGTTACGAAACTGGTTCGAATCAATCACTCACCCGGGAAATCGATTCGACCGGAGGAGTTCCAAGCAAGTCGGTCATGAGATCCAACTGATGCACCACGTTCTTCCCAGGAAACAATGGTTTCCCACTCAGCATTTCAGCAAATATGCATCCTATGCTCCAAATATCGATCGCTGGAGTGTACTATAGACAAACCGAACCAACAAAGAAGCCACCAAGAGAAAAGAATTATTAGTTTATCTACCTATTTATTAGTAATTAATTTTACTTAACTTGGTGGGGAAATAAACATAGTTTGGAAGTTGCGATTGTTTTTGGTGAGATTGTTACTATACTTTTATTGTTTGGAATACATCATTTTTCCTTTTTTTTTCATACACAATACATTTTTTTATGAATAATACATAAATTATTTATTTGATGTGACATAAAATATCACTCAAAATAAATAATTATTTTTAATAAAATTAAATGAATAATTGTTATATTTCATTTTTTTAATTGAGATTATTGAAATAGTTGAATTGAGATTGTTATATCTCAGCTTTTCAATTCTAGAGCATATAAAATTACATATATCAAACATTGTGGTTTACAATGCATCAAAGTAATTAATACATGTATCACACATGTATTTATCACAATAACATATTTAGCAAAATCACATATTTAACAATCACAATTTTCAAACTAACTTTTCCAGAAGCAAATTAAATACAACTTACTTTGGAGAAAAATGACCCACAAAGCTCAGGAGCACGATACCACCTAGTCGCAACATAATCCTATAATTCACAAAAAAATATAATTAAGGTAATAATCCATAATTTTGCATGGCACGTTAGAAGTTAGAACCATCAACCATGCATGCATGCATGATCAGGAAGAGGTTAAAACTATACGTACTATAGAACAGTAAATTCCTACTTAATTACTAACGGTAATAAACTCAAGATAAAAAAAATACCGTCCAAAATATAGCTGACGGAGCATCATTGAAAGACACACGAGCCAAGCCAAAATCACATATCTTCAGCTTGCAATCAGCATTGGCAAGAATGTTCTTGGGCTTTAAGTCTCGGTGAAAAACGTTAGCTACAAGACGGCCGGCGGGTAAAAAGAAGAAGTTAATCAATAACAAAAAAAGAAACAAAAAGAAAAAAAGGAGATGGATCAAATTAATCAATGAAAATAAATACCGGTATGGATGTATTTCAAGCCTCGTAGAAGTTGGTAGAGGAAGAACTGGTAATGCTCAGGGGTGAGATCGTCGTTAGCTTTGATGACCTGGTGAAGATCGGATTCCATCAGCTCGAACACGACGTAAATGTCTCTGAACTCTCGACGCGAGGGCGGGAGCATGATGTGTCTTATCTCCACGATATCGGGGTGACGGAGCAGGCGAAGGAGTTTGATTTCTCTGAGGATGCGCGTCGCGTCCGAGACGTGTTCGAAAACGTCGTTGATCTTCTTGATGGCAACTTTTTCGTTGGTTTTGGTGTCCACCGCAGATCCCACCACGCCGTAACTACCTTTCCCTACCACTTCTTGGATCTGGTATCGGCTGCCTTCCCCATACTCGGTGAAAAAATCCGCTTCCGCTGAGCCCTATATATAAATGTTGTACGTACATGCACAAAACCGCGCGTTATAAAAACCATCCAACAACACCTACATATCTTAGTAGTAACATTTATTTTTTCTAATTCACCTTCTTGTGATTAGCCATTTGATCAATTCCTATGCATGCAAGATTAGCTGAATTCAAAATATCCTCTTATTATCTTGTTAGTCATGAAATGCTTGTAATTTGAAACAAGCAAACAGGAAGAAATTCTTTTTCCTTCTCCTGTCTTTGTCCTCGTCTTTTTTCTTTCTTCCTTTGGTTGATGTTTTCCTTTCACAAGTTGCCCATCTCCGATGTCTGTGGATTGCCACTACCTGCAATCTCTTATTATAGTAATTTTACATTACTCATACTCATTAAAAAAATAAAATCCCACTACAAAATTAGGCGACTATGGGGACTACCTTAGGGGACAACTATGAGCACTACAAGAAAAATGGCTTTTTGCAACCAAAATATATGGTCCCTAAAAGTCAAAAAATGGTTATCGATACATTTTCGCAACCAAATATATTTGGTAGCAGATTTGGTCGCTATAGCCGCGTTACGAATTCCTAATGCAACCAAAATAATGATTGGTTGCGAAAAATCAGGCTATCGCAACCAATTCTGCCAATGCTAAAAATCTTAGTTTTTTGTGACCATTTAAATTTGGTTGTCATAGTCCATACTTTTGGTTGCAAAATGTAGTTGATTGGTCGCCATAAATACTAATGACAACCATTTTGTGTGACTATTAGTAACCGATAATATCATTATGACAACCAATAATTTTGGTTATAAAATTTTAATACAACTATAAAATTTGGTCGTGAAAAATACATATGCCAACCAATTATATCATTTTAAACGACTAAATATTTTTGTCATAAAAATGTAAAACAACCTTGAGATTTGGTCGTGAAAAACATGTAACTCAACCAATTAAACCATTTTGACAACCAAATGTTTTAGTTATAGAATTATAAGTCAACCTTAAAATTTGGTTGTAAAAAATACATATGCCAACCAATCATGTCAATTTTTGCGACTAATTATTTTAATTATGAAAGCGTTACAAAACAATAAAAATTGGTTGCGGAAACACATAAGCCGACAAAATAAATCATTTTATATGACCAATTTCGTTCATGAGAGTTTGGTCATTAAAATGCACCATTTAAAAATTTGAATTGAATTATAGTAAGAGCACCTCCAATGGTGCAAATGAGGTGAATTGCAATCCTATGTGGCATAGGGATGAAAGTGAGAAAGTGGTTTGCATTGATGTGGCATCATTTGCAAATGGTGCAAATTTGCACACCATGCAAATTGGTATGCAATTGCAACAGGGCCCCACCAATTTGTCTTTTCTTTCTTTTCCCTTCTTTTTTGTTCATTTGTTTTTTTCTTTCTTGCTTCCACCACCAATTATATGTTGTATATATATTTATTTCTATTCTTCCTATCACATACACATATGTATATGTATTTAGTTAATGGTAACGATGATATTTTTGTATAGATAAAACAATACTACAAACAAACCTTAAAGATTCATATATACTTTAAAGTATTACATCCACAAAGTACAAATTGAAAAGAAAACACACTAACGTTAAGACAACTAATTAATACATAAAATGTTTTATATAATTAGTAACATTAATTTATAATTATATTTATTGACTTTAATTGATATTAGTTATAGGAAGTTGCTAATTTAAGTTTAAAGGCTATTACAATATTTTAGTAAAATGGTAGAGATAATATGAATATTGATTTGTATTGAAAAGTAAGTAGGACCCACAATTGCAATTGCAAGTGGTTGGTATTGATGTAGGTTGTATGAAAATGAAGAGTGAGTAATTGTTAAAGTTGATGATGTGGTAGTAGAGCCCACACTTGAAATTGCATGTAGATGGCACCATTGGAGATGCTCTAAGAAAGTGTACATGTCATATCTCGTCTTTAACAAATTGTTATGTCATCACTAAGAATAACCTCACTATTTCATACAATTGCATCTATAACTAACTTAAGATGAACAAAATGCAAACACTACAAAATGTACCCTCTTTATAGTTGCCAATAGTCCATCATTCCATAGTTCACCATCAACATTTTCTTCTGCAGATGACAAAAAGAAACAATTGAAATCCTTTCTTATAGAAAGAGCCAGTATAAAGTAAACATAGATTGGACAGAAAAGAAACCAAGAAAAGGGCATATCCCCTGAATTTAGAGCATGTCCTCGTTCATATAAACAAGCTCTTCATTTCCACGAACAATAGCAACAGCCCATCGACATCATTTTTTAGTTCTGAAAAGGCCCAGCATCATTCAAATTTTAACACCTAGACTTATCAAGCATATGGAAGTAAAACAAAAACAAGGTTCGCGTTTTAGAGGCAGTATAGAGGTCAAACTCTAAATTAAAGAATAAAGCATTTGCTCCGCCAATTTCTTGGAAAGCAACAGTTAAACAAAAAAAAAAATACCTTTGCCATGCTAAACTAAAACTTCCTACTAAAGTTATAAGCTTAAGTAATAGAGGTGGAGTTCTTACATACATGTCAAAGTGGAATTCTCGAGGTACAATGACCTGCTTCTTGGAATTCTTACATCTACTGCCAGATTCCAGGGATTCTGGCCTCTACCGCCATCTCTTCTTTAACTTCAAATGACTGCAATCTAGAATGCATTGCAACTTAATATTTGCTAACATACTTTTACAAGTAATTTCATAACAACTCTTTAAGTAATTTCATAACCACCAAGTCTCAGTAGAAGATAATTCTTGAAAGAAGTACATAAAACAAGATAAATATTCCTTTCCATTGATGGGTTAACTGTTGAATAAATGAAAAGAGTTAATTTGGTTCAGTACCTATTGAGAGCATCTGACCAGGGATGCTCAGTTGAGATTACTGAAGTGAACACTTCCCTGTTCAATAGAGAGTACTATGGCTTGTCCTCGTCAGAGGTTGGCATTGGGAAGTATGTCTCGTAAGGAACTCCACATTCCCCACCAGAGTCAGGGGATTTATAAACTGTTCCTGTGTTAGAGTAATCCCTGAAACCAAACAATTAATGAATAAATATTTCATGTGCGCATCCATCAATTAAGGTCACGTGGAATATGTGCTAGCTACGCAGATTAGCTGAATTCAAAATATCCTCTAATTATCTTGTTAGTCATGAAATGCTTGTAATTTGAAACAAGCAAAGAGGAAGAAATTCTTTTTTCCTTCTCCTGTCTTTGTCCTCGTCTTTTTTCTTTCTTCCTTGGTTGATGTTTTCCTTTCACAAGTTGCCCATCTCCGATGTCTGTGGATTGCCACTACCTGCAATCTCTTATTATAGTAATTTTACATTACTCATACTCATTAAAAAAATAAAATCCCACTACAAAATTAGGCGACTATGGGGACTACCTTAGGGGACAACTATGAGCTTTTGTCTTCGGAAATAAAATCTCAAGTTAAATTAGGGACAATTGTATTAAGTTGCCCCCATAAAATAAAGAATGAAGTTTTTGTTAATTTGAAATTTGGTTTAGCTGTCCCTAAAACTGAAAGTTCCGGAAAGTTTATTTAAATGAGTAAGTGAGAGGGGAAATCTTTTGCTGCAGGAAAAACAAATAAATCTATGACGAGATTTTTTCGCGGTGAAAGAATATTTTTTCACGCTGATTTTTTTTTTTAACTTGCCGGTTATTTATATTGGACTTAGAGTTAGAAACAATTCAAACAAAAACGATGGATAAATTTAAAACTCATCTCATCTCAATCATTCATTTAGATCGAAATTTGCAGCCATGGATTTGGTTTAAACTTAACCTAATAAACCCTAGTTTTTATTTATATCTCTATAGCCGCATTGACTTCTACTCCATGTTTTCATCATTCATGGCTCTTCTCTTCTACCGGCCTCCGACTCTTTTCTCACAATTCTCATCTTCTTTTGTTCATGCCATACTATCTTTGGAGGTAAGTTTTGATGCAGGTGATAATGATATTGTTTCTTACTATTAGATCCATCTTTGTTAAGCTCCTAACTGTTTATTTTTCTGTAATTTGACGGTAATGGCCACCGTCGCGATGAGAAAAGAAATTCTCAGTGTGCAGAGATTCGGGAATCAGGTGTCGAGGGTTAGATAGGAACGAGCGAAAGAAACAAATGACACTGTCTTTGGGGGAAAGGGTGCAGATTGCTGCATTGAAGCTTCTGGCTCCAACCACTGTTGGTGTCGAGGGTTTGATTACATGAAGTTCATTATTTGGAAGGCATCGCACGCAGGATAAATGCTATTCTTCTTTTCTATTCCAAAAGTTGAGATTATGATCAGTTCCCTGTATCTTTGTTTATCATCACCACATACATAATAAATCAATTGTGAATTTGGTTTCTTATATACAAATACAATGGTGTTAAAAATTACATGTATGATTTTTTCTCCCCTAGCCTACAAGTTTAATGGACAACTATGCGTCCCTAAAATTCACACAGGTGACTATTTGTCATCTCCAAAATTTTAATATAAGCGATCATTTTATTGTCCTTAAATAAAATTTTTTATGACGATTTATTGACACAAATTCGACTCTTATGAGTACAACATGTTGTCCCTACAGAAAAGGAAACGGTATTTTTTATTTTTTAAAATATTGTTGGGGGCGACTTCTTGACACCATAGTCGTAGCTATGAGGATGACATGTCGTCTTTCATAAAAAAAAAGAGATAACAACTTGTAAGTATTGGGGACGAGCTAGATATTATTCGTCCCCAAAAGAATAGAGGACAAGCGTAGAGGGGACGAAATATTGGGGACAACTTAATCGTTCCTAAAAACTATGGGAACGATTTTTTCTATTTTCGGGAACGACTTTTGTTGTCCCTAACCCTACTATTTTTTGTAGTGTCCCTTTTTAGATTTATAGGTAATAAAACTAATTATTACTTGAACGCATAGTATTAAGGAGAAGTATTGTTCTCGTGGAGCAAGAAAACACGGTGTGTGCCGTATGGCCGTGAATATGATCTTCCAACGGATGATGAATTCATAACTCTTATTATTTGACATTTTATCATGGTCAAACACAAAATAAATGAAGCAACTCTACTTCAGTTGATACTTGGATAATAAATAGCAGGAACGATTAAAAATAAAAAGAAGTAGAAGGTTGACACCATTGAAAAAAAATGATAAATAAAAAAAAGAGAACACAAATGAATGAAGCACACCGCCCATCGGGCGGGCACGAAACTATAATATAAATAAGAAACTTCGAAATAAACACTTAGGAATTCAAATCTCTTCTTCTCTCAACCTTCCACGCCAGTCTTGATTTTCCATGCAACTTTTTTTTTTAAACTCAAGACCAACTAAAAAGTAAATGAAAAGGATTTGACACATAACTCACAAAGTTTAAATTATTATAGTTTAAAGTTTTTGACCAATAAGACAAACTCTGATAAGTGATAAGGATATTAATTGCAAAACTAAACAGATAAACTCCATCAATTATATTAATTAGTATAACAAAATGGAGACTACCATGAAATCCAACATTTTTATCTTTTCACTTCATCGATAAAATCGATATTGAATCAAAATTTAATGATTTTGTGGAGTTTAAGATATAGAAACACAAATTTTATAATGAAAAATAAATTTTATTCAATTCATATCATAAACTCATCCAAAATCAATACAATATATTTTATACTTTCTCAAATTAGCCTTCATCATTTCAAAATTTCTCAATTGTTAAGCATTTACATCAGCCTTGAATTTCCATGTCACTTTTATTTGTTTTAATTTTTAAAACTAAAAAATGATTATAAATAAAAGCATATATAAATAAGTATTACTAGGATTTAAACACACGGCCTATAATGCTAAATTTATAGGATAAAGTCCATAGATTATTATTATATTTTTCTTATTACCCAGGAATCTCAGCCCACGTGCCAATTTGTGATAGTGGGGCCTACTAAACCGAGGCACCTACAATCAATTCGATTCCAACTGTACTTCGCCTCCAGCAACCTGTACCTCCGGGAACACCAATAAATCTTGATTGAATGGAACCTGTGGCCATCGGTTCGAGGATGACATGTAGTAGAGAATAGCAGCTTCGTTCCCATTTTTCTCCACAATCTATTCCAGAAAAAGCTCAGAAACTTAGTATCTCGATCAGATACTATGGAACGCGGCATCCCATGCAATCGCACCACTTCCCTGAAAAACAAATCAACCACGTTAATAGCATCATCCGTCTTATGACACGGGATAAAGTGTGCCATCTTCGAGAATTGATCCACCACCACAAAAATCGACTCTCTTCCCTTCCGTGTCCGCAGCAAACCAAGCACAAAATTCATAGATACGTCGATCCATGGAGCATATGGAATCGGCAGTAGTGTGTACAATCCAGATGATTGCAGCTTTGACTTGGCCCGCTTGCACTCCACACACCCCGCACACAGATTCTCCACGTCTCCCTTCATGTGCGGCCAATAGAAGTGCTCTTGTAGACAACTCAGCGTCTTGTCTACACCGAAATGTGCCATTAAGCCTCCTCCATGAGCCTCTTTCAACGGCAACTCTCGAAGTGATGATCGAGGAATACACAACTGGTTAGCTTGAAACAAGTAGCCATCACTTCGATAGAACTTCCCATCGCCATGCTGCTCACAAGCTCTATAGATCTCCCCAAAGTCAGCATCATCAGAATAGAGCTCCTTGATATGCTCGAAACCCAAATACTTCACCCTCATTGTCGTGATCAACGAATGCCTTCGAGATAGGGCATCAGCAACTACGTTCTCCTTGCCCTGCTTGTACTTGATCACGTATGGAAAGGCATCAATAAACTCAACCCAGCGAGCATGTCTCTTATTCAGCTTGTGTTGAGCCTTCAAATACTTCAACGATTCATGATCAGCATGAATCACAAACTACTTCGGCCATAGATAGTGCTGCCACGTCTCTAAGGCTCGAACTAGAGCATAAAGCTCCTTGTCGTACGTTGGATAGTTGAGGGCAGCCCCACTCAACTTCTCGCTGAAGTAAGCAATCGGCTTCTTCTCCTGCATCAACACTGCTCCAATTCCCAAACCAGAAGCATCACACTCCACCTCGAATGTCTTATTGAAATCCGGCAACATCAGGACAGGTGCGTGTGTGAGCTTGTGCTTGAGCAGCTCGAATGCTCTGGTATGCTCCTCTCCCCAATGGAACGTCACGTTCTTCTTGATGATGGATGTCAATGGTGCGGCAATGGTGCTGAAATCGGGCACAAATCGATGATAAAACCCAGCAAGCCCATGAAAGCTCCGCACCTCATTCACGTTGGTTGGAATAGGCCAATCGCGAATTGCTTTCACTTTCTCTTCGTCCACCTTGACTCCATCTGCACTCAACACAAAACCAAGGAAAATAACACTAGAAGTGAAAAATGAGCACTTCTTGAGGTTAGCATACATTTTTTCCTTTCTCAACATCGCCAACACCTCTCTGAAGTGATTGAGATGATCCTCCATGCACTTCGAGTAGATCAGAATGTCGTCGAAGTATACGACCACGAACTTGCCAATGAATGGCCTCAAAACATGGTTCATCAACCTCATGAACGTGCTAGGAGCATTGGTTAAACCAAAGGACATCACCATCCATTCGTATAGACCCTACTTGGTCTTAAACGCAGTCTTCCACTCGTCTCCCTCCTTCATACGAATTTGGTGGTAACCTGATCTCAAATCAATCTTGGAGAACACCGTAGAGCCATGTAATTCATCAAGCATATCATCTAATCGTGGAATTGGATGACGATACTTAACTGTAATTTGATTGATGGCTCGGCAGTCTACACACATCCGCCAGGTGTGATCCTTCTTTGGCACGAGAATCACCGGAACTTCACACGGGCTCAAACTTTCTCGAACATGCCCCTTCTCCATGAGCTTGTCAATCTGCCTTTGCAACTCTTTGGTCTCTTCCGGATTAGCTCAATATGCTGCCTTGTTTGGAATTTGAGCTCCCGGCACGAAATCAATCTGGTGCTCCATTCCGCGAATAGGAGGCAGCTCATTCGGTGCTTCCTCTGGAAACACATCCTCGAACTCATCCAACACCGCTCTTGCTTCGGCTGGAAATTCTTGGACTTGCTCTTGATTGAGTAACACGTCCCTGTACATGAGCACAATCAAAGGTTCTCGTGCACAGGCAGCTTGCT